AGGTCGCGACCCGTCAAAATCAGTTTTGTGATCGGAAGGGAGGGGGGAGAGCCAAGCGAAGCTTGTGTGTGCCGGCGATTCGTTTGAAGCGCTCTGTAGGTAGTGCTGCCGCCTTCGTGGCTGTAGAAGTTGCTAAACTTTTACCTCAGGAAGGAGGCCCTGTTGTGGAGATGAGTTGCTGCGCCGTGCCCTTCGCACCCCTCTCAGTGGGGGGCTGGCTGGTCGCTGAGGCGAGCCTGTGGCCCCCCATAGCTTTGCAGGAGCTGCCGTCGCTGACAGAGGCCGAGTCCTCTTCCCCCGTTATGGACTGCAAACGCCAAGAGCAGTGGTGCTGACTGGCGCTGGAGCCAGGCTTGGCATTGGTTTTGTGGGCCTTTGGAGCATGTGCTGCTTCGTGTGGCTTCAAGCAGCACCTTGTACAGCCCAGGGCAGGGTGTTTGGTAATTCAGATACTAGCTGTTGGACTGGAAACTCCCGGGAGGAGATCGGATGCAGGAAACGGGAACTTTGGGTAGGGGAAGCTTCTTTCCTAGGTGTTAAGAGAGGGCATACAGGAAGTATAGAACCGTTGTGTTTAGCATGCTGTGTGATGCTAGCATAACATTTTTTCAGAACCTCAGCACCTTGCCTGTCTGCTTTGGTGTCATATGGGATCGTGTTTTTAGGCAGAAAGAGCCTTCACTTTAGCTTCATCATCTGCCCCTACTTGCCTGGAGAACTTGCACGTTGCAGCTGCTAACAGGGGAAGTACCTGCTTTGTGTGCTTATCCCACGTGCCTGAGGTAACAGCAAACTTCGTATTAAGTAGAAGCAGTCAGTACTCCCACTTTGAAGCACTGGCAGTTTAAAATAGCACAGTAGCAGTGCAGTCTTTTCTATTACAATCGCCTCTGCTGATAAATAAAGAAGTGGTAGTATCAGCAGAGCAGGAAAAAGAAACCAAACTCAAAAAGCAGCCCCCAAACCCTTGGGATGCTAATGTATCATGGAGGACAGTAACTCACTGCTGGTAGGAGAGAGAGCTAGACAGATGTGAGGAGCTTCTGACTCATCTAGGATCAGACTTAAGACCATAAATGAGATTTTAGGAAATAGTTCAGCATTAAATCTGTTGACAGGACCAAACATACAGACATATATATATGTGTGTGTGTGTGTATTTTAATATGAAACTTAGTGAATTGATTTAGGAAGATAATGGAAGATTTGAAAAGAAATCTCAGCAAGCTGAATTGAATCAGAACAAAGAGTAGTTTAGAATTAGCCTAAGAAAAGGAAATCAAAGGAGGTCTAACATGTTATGTAAGTTATTCAATCAGATGATTATAATTGGAAGACTAAAGCTGAATGAGACTTTAAAAGTGAAGATTCTGCCAAAACAATGTAGACTTTATTATTATTATAAAAATACTATTTTGACCAAAAAAAAAAAGTGTCATAGTGCAGCTTTGACTCTGGTTTGGTGCTGGATATATACCCTGGGATTAATATTGGCATAATTATATCTGTAGTTTTACAAGTGAAAAAAACCAGACCTTGAGAACCCATTAGTGACTTGCTGTTTTGGGGTTTTTTTAAATCCATTGGACGCTTCAAGCTCATCTGTTGCCAACTTGTCCTTCTGTCTTGGGATCACCCACTGACCTTCATGCAAATTTAATTAGAAAGTAAGAAGGTAAAGGGAGGGAGCTGTTCTCGTACATAAGCTACATCATCTTTATCACCTCAGGCAACGTAGTAATTCAGTCTCTAATGGGCTGCTAAAATTTTTTGTATTTGAATATACATCGGTGAAGAAACTGTGTTTACTTGGTCTTTCTGCATGTTTTCTGTCTGCTTAGAAAGGATTCATTATATTTCTGCACCTTGGTATGAGTTTAATGAACGTTGTGCTGAAATACATGACAAAATATGTGTTTACTGGTAATGTGCCAGCTGGCTGGTTACAAGCAGAGTTTTAATTATGAGGAACTTTTTACTTTGGAGATTTTGCAAATGATTTACAGAGTGGTTGTGTATTATCTCCTTGCACACCTCTTGCTTACCTCTGTGTCTGCATCACAGATAACTCTTTGGCATCTATGCTAATTGCCAGCTGGGAGTAGTTGAATTGTTCTACTATTGCAAAATGTCTTGTCACAGTTAACTGAGCATTGTAGGGGTTTGGGATGTGGTATTGCAGGTTTATTTGGTTCAGATTTGAAGTAAAACCTTTCTTCTCTATATTAAGAACTTTGTCTAGATTTTAAAAATTATGTTGCTGTATGATACCGAATTAAGAGTAATGTGAGGTCTTTGCATTGTGTCATTGCATTCTGTATCCAATATGTCACTACCTGGATGTTTTGGGACAGCTTTGCAAGAAACTCTACATCTTACATGAGCGAATAGCTGAGTTACAGTATGAAATCTGCATTTGCTGTGCACAGAGAAATGTGATGAGAATATTCTTGTGTCTGTCTCATGGCATGGGTGCGATAGGAGCAGCGCTTCAGTGGGTGGCTGGAGCAGGATGAGGGAACAGTGCTGCGGCAGCTGGCCTTCAGCCTTCTCTGCTCTCCTGTGGTGCAGGCCATGAGGCTTGTGCTGATGTTCTCTTGTGCAGCAGAGAGCTCTCAGAAAGCGCCAACCACCTTCTGGTAACAACGTGCACAGGAAACTCTGTTGTTCTAGTAGTTAGAGGAAAGGCTTCTTTGTTTCTTTTGAGTATCAGTTAGATGTATCAGTTAGCTGTTGCTTGTTGGTTAATGCAGGCAGATGCAGGGTCCGCTGCCAGGCTGTGAGGAAAGGCTGCTGCTGTAGGACCTTACCCTGGTCCAGTTGCCATTTTGCTCTTAAGATTCTTTAGATCCAGAAGCTACGTCTTTGATCTTATAGCCTTTCACTAGATTTAATGTCAAAATCAGCTTTTTAATTAAACCAAAAAGGAAGGGTATTCACCTGCAGCTCTTGCTGTTCTGACAAGGGGGGAATTCTGGCAGTTCTAATGTTGTTTTTAATAATTTTAATCAAACATTTTTTTCTTCCCTCTCTTTTGAATCTGTGAAGACCTGAGTATCTGACAGTTTACATGTCACAAAGGGTGGGCAATCCAGGCTGTCTTTCTAGAAAAGATGTGACATTCCAAATGTGAAAGTTTAGAAATGGGAGAAATGTCCCTTATTTCTTCCAGTAGTAATTGGTGGTCCTAACGAGTAGCTGAAAATACTTGTGTTAACTTGTGACTTTTATCTAGCTCATGTAAAACATCTTTTTGTAAGTAGTTAGTCCAGTTCCTTTACAGTTGTACTGAAGTGCAACTTGTGGAGCCCAAGCGATCTAAAAGATCTGTGTATATATATCTGCCATCATCTGTAATGTCTGTTCTTTGGCATATATTCTCAATAATGAAATTTGATTACAGGTCTTAGCGATTTTCAAAAGACCTTGTGCATGTGGTTTTGACTTTTTCCTACTCTGCTCTCATAAGACCCCACTTAGAGTACTGTGTACAGTTCTGGTGTCCTCAATATAAGAAGGACATGGAGCTGTTGGAGCAAGTACAGAAGAGACCACAAGGATGATCAGGGGGCTGGAGCACCTCCCATATGAAGACAGGCTGAGAAAGTTGGGGCTGTTCAGCCTGGAGAAGAGAAGGCTGCGTGGAGGCCTCATAGCAGCCTTCCAGTATCTGAAGCGGGCCTATAAGGATGTTGGAGAGGGACTCTTCATTAGGGACTGTAGTGGTAGGACAAGGGGTAATGGACTCAAACAGGGGAAGTTCAGGTTAGCTATAAGGAAGAAGTTCTTTACAGTGAGGGTGGTGAGGCACTGGAATGGGTTGCCCAAGGAAGCTGTGAATGCTCCATCCCTGGCAGTGTTCAAGGCCAGGTTGGACAGAGCCTTGGGTGACATGGTTTAGTGTGTGGTGTCCCTGCCCATGGCGGAGATGCTGGAACTAGATGATCTTAAGGTCCTTTCCAACCCGAACTATTCTATGATTCTATAGTTTTTGTTACTGTATCATTAAACACCTGTGTACAACAGAAAAGGGATTATAAAGCTTTCACTTTTCCAGTTGATTTTTCAAACAAAGTTGGGGGAGTAAAGACCTCAAATGCAGAGAGTTGTGTTTGTGGCATTAGTTTGATTGTTGAGCTTGTTTCTCTTTGTTTCATCTTTTATTCCTCTACTTGGTTGTTCTTAATTATTTCTGTATGTCTTTGGAGTTGCCATTGGGTTGGGATTTTGTTCCTTCTAATTAAAATAAGTCCCTTTCTTGTATTTTACTAAATTCAATGTATTTAACCTTTTGTTTTCAAGGTGAAAAAGAAAACTGTCTAATCAAAGAGCAAAGATGCAGAGCACTTTGAATTACCTCTGGCTGTTGTCTGACATCCTAGGGCAGGGAGCTACTGCAAATGTTTTCCGGGGCCGACACAAGGTTAGTGAGGAATTGCTAATCTGAGTAACATGTAAAACTGAATCTTTTTCATGTACAAGTCTTGCCATGAAATCAACCAAAAAGTGTTCCAGATTTAAGCCTAAAGTAAATATATCTTTGCTAATATTAATTCTTAGCTTTTAATTGTTAATACTCATCCAATGAATTGAGTTCTATACAGTAATTTCCAAGGATTTGTTTCGAATATTGTACTGTTTGTCCTTGTAAAATATGAAATATTATGAACTATTCATTCCTCTGTTCTTTGCTTACGAATTTAAATAGCAATGAAAGTCTTAATCAATTTTTATTACATTACATAATATGTTTTTTTTTTCTTTGTTAACTTCTCTTTTCATAGTTTTTCCCTATTCTTTTAAACCCATTGTCTTGTGATTTTTATGATTTTGGAATATTCTTGATATATTCTTAACATATTATCCTATTGGATGAAGTTGCTGTTAGTGTCTGGCTGTAAGTCAATGCTTCATACATGTCTACAACACAGTGGTGTTGGCATGTCTTGGTGACATGCCATTTGAAATCAGTACAAAATACAACATTTTCGAGGAGTTTTGCCATGCAAATGATATACTGATTTGTATGTTGTAACCTGAGGGAGGGGCTAAAATGACCTTAAGTGTGTAGGTCATTCTGTTCCTATGAACTTCATGGTATGTCTCACAAAATGAAGATAAACCTAGTTGTGGAAGTAATGTTCTCTTACAGTAATGTCAGTCTGTGTGAAATCGGAATGAAGTTATGTGTCAGCTACAGTGCTTTCTATGTTCCACATTTAACCATGAAGCAACACTAAGGAATAATTCAGCAGTTAATGTGCTTTTCTGTGCGAGTGGATTTCCACACAGAATTATTCCCCTATAAAGCTTATGTTTTCATGGTTGCATCTCTCATCAGCCTTACTAACCTGAGTGTGTGACCTGCAACTTGTTAGTGAGAGAAAACTTTTATCTGGGCACCAGTAGTGCATGCAAGTGTGTTGCGTAACTGTCCTGGGTTCAGCTACAGCAGTCATTTTTTCTCCTTCTTAGTAGCTGGTGCAGTGCTGTGTTTTTGACTTTCAGTCTGGGAACAATGCTGATAACACCGATGTTTTTAGTTGTTGCTAAGTAATGTTTACTCTGACCAAGGACTTTCTCAGTCTCATGGTTTGCCAGAGAGGAGGGGAAGCCAGGAGGAAGCAGAGACAGGACACCTGACCCAAACTGGCCAAAGGGGTATTCCATACCACAGCACGTCATGCCCAGTATATAAACTGGGGGGAGTTACCCGGAAGGCCCAGATTGCTGCTCGGGTCGGGCTGGGTATCGGTTGGCGGGTGGTGAGCGGTTGTGTCCTTTTCCCTTGTTATTCCTCTTATCACTATTATTGGTAGCAGTAGTGGTTTGTATTATACCTTAGTTACTGGAGAGCTGTTATCTCAACTCGTGGGAGTTACATTCCTCCGATTCTCCTCCCCATCCCTCCGGGAGCGGGGGGAGGAAGAAAAAGGGGGGGGAGTGAGCGAGCGGCTGCGTGGTTCCAAGTTGCCGGCTGGGCTTAAACCACGACAGTAACACACATGGTCTAAGCACAGGAAGGCTTTGTCCTTAGCAAGGATCTGTCACCCACACATCCGCTAATGTATGCTTATTCCTAGAGTGGTTGCAGGGAGGTACTTAGCCCTAAGAGGGACCAGAATTGCACTCTCAGCTGGTGCTGTGGATGCCTGAGCATGCTGGGGCTTAGTCCCGCTTGAGAATGGAAATCTGACTGAGCTCATGTCTGTGCTCATGTCACTTATTATGTGGGTTTGAATTGCTTCAGGATTTTGCATGAGTGGTATATAGTGCCTGACACTGCCTTCTTTGAGAAAATAAAATACTTCTTTATGAGCATAAATGGAACAATAAAGAAAAAGAGAGCAGTGTTCAGCTTCTGGAAGTTGTCTCTTAAGCAAGTCAAGATTCTTAACTGTAGCATGTGTGTGTCTCTTAGTGATTGGTGCAAGTGGCCTACCTCTTTCTGAAATTTTATTTTTCAGCTAAGTTTATGGGTCATTCTACATGTGTAGCCCTTCTTTATGTTAACTGTCCTTTGTTTCAAAAAACACTTAGATTTTGTGGGCTAACATTGAGTTTCCATGCTTCTAATCTATGTTAAACTAAACCAGGATATACATAATTTTTTTTAGTAGAATCTTAATTTTCACCTTACACAAAATACTATTTTGAACTATTTGTAATCTGGGTATGCTCATATGCACAACAGAGGATCTCGGAATGCTTGGGTAATGGCATATGTATGTTTACAAGCTTATGCTTCTGTTTGATTAGTAATCTGTTTGTTCTTAACAGAAAACTGGGGATTTATATGCTGTCAAAGTTTTTAACAGTATAAGTTTCCTTCGTCCTGTGGATGTTCAGATGCGAGAGTTTGAAGTATTGAAGAAACTAAATCATAAGAACATTGTCAAGCTGTTTGCCATTGAAGAAGAGGTAATGAATCGTAGTTATGATCTGAGGTGCATGGTAGTAACCGCAGTAACTGTCTTTTTGCTTTATCCTTAACTATAGAGGATGAAGATACATTTTTAAAGAATGGTAACATATATGATAAGTACTCTGACCCCACCACCACTGGTTTTTTGTTTTTCTTTTTTTTGTTGTCATTGAAAGAATATGCTTGCACAGGTTATCGTTCTTCAAGGCCATCTTGAGAAGCCATTGCCCTAAGCTTATCTTGAATAAGGATTTTTAAGTTATCTACATGCATTAATATTTAATACATACTGATAGTGGGAGGTGTTTCAGTAATGCTGATAATTTTATGCTTTTGCTTTGCAACCAGCTACAATAATGGCATAGGAAATGTAGAACTGTACGTTAATATGGATTGCAGTAGGTGTGCTGAAATTGAGTCTAATCAGTTGAAATGACCCAGATGCTGAGATTAGTAAAGAGGAAAAAAGGACAGTTGCTGCTCTCTGCTCTTCTGTGCTGTAGTTTTTCATTTGTCCACCTATTAATACTGTTGTCAACCCTCTAAGTGCCTAGAACTTGAGGCTTTCTTAGATTTTTCCCCCATCTCCAAGTTAGAATATATGAAACAATATAAATAAATAGCCTACACTTCATTTGAAGATCTCCAGAATGCAATTTCCTATCTAGTTACGGATTTTCTTTCATATTTTTTTAACTAAGATCCTGTGGTTATATGTAATTTCTGACATTGTTTTCACAATAGTCACAGACTTTTTTTTTTTTTTTTTCCCCCAGACAACAACTAGACACAAAGTATTAGTTATGGAATTTTGTCCATGTGGGAGTTTATACACAGTTTTAGAGGAGCCCTCTAATGCCTTTGGTTTGCCAGAATCTGAGTTCTTAATCGTTTTGAGAGATGTGGGTATGTAGACTCTGCTTTTTGCTCTTTGCTCTTTTTTCTGATTTGTTGACTGAAACAAACTCATACCTTTTTTGTTTATCTTGAAATGGCAAGAGATGAGGAATTTGAATGACTGAACTAACTGAACGAATTAATATGGTCGTATGGAGTCCTGTCTTTTACGTCTCGTTGGTGTAGATAGCTTCATTAAGATGCCACTTCTGTTTAAAGCATTGCTATAATTCTTTGTTTATTTCAACATTATTTGTCACATGTTGGACTGATGCCCAGTGACAATTAGCATGGAAAAGTAAATTAAAAAATAATGATGTTTACCTCTGTCTGCCTCTTATAAAATTTTCTGTTGTTACTTTATGGGAAAGATGTTGCCAAGAGCAAGAGATACTATAATTTAGCTGATTGAAAGAAAAGAAAGTAAAAATGTTTAGAATATTCTCTGGTCCTGGTCTTTTCGTTAATTGAGTGTCCCTTCTCATGCCCATTTCCCAGTGAGAAAGTAAAAACATGCATCTTCATAGTCTCAGTTACAATTCAGTGCTTATGCAGTCTGTGTCAAGATGTATACATAAATTCTGTATTATCTCTTTTTTCTTTTTAATGGAAGTGGCTGGGATGAATCATCTCCGGGAGAATGGAATAGTGCACCGTGACATCAAACCAGGCAACATAATGCGTGTTATTGGTGAAGATGGTCAGTCTGTTTACAAACTGACAGACTTCGGTGCTGCAAGAGAACTTGAAGATGATGAACAATTTGTTTCTCTCTATGGCACAGAAGAATATTTAGTAAGCCCATATGATTTCACTTTCTCTTGAAGAACTATTTGAAGCCCAGGGCCCTTTGTGATGAGAATTGAGTAGGTGAAGGTTGGACTGTTTGGAATTAGTGCTTAAACCTTTGTTTTATAATTGTTTTTACAACTTTAAACCTTTTTCACCTTGGGTCATGCCAGTTCTTCTGCTGATCTGAGCACAGTAGCCTTTAAATAATTCTCCTCCATTGTTGCCTTATGTGAGAGGAAGAACAAGAGCATTTTAGTTATGAATGCCTTTGCCTTTATCTCTGTAGATATCTTTCACTTTGTATTTGAGCTACTTGCATGATGTTAAATGTTAAGTTTCACTTGACACCTTAGTTAACTGAAGAGAAGCAGGCAGAAAGGCATCAATATAAGCATCTTAGGCCTAGTTTTCTTCCTGCCGTGTTTTCCCACATGCAGTATTGTAACTGATACTCTGCTCTGCTATGGTTAGTCTGTGCTATGGTTTCTCTTGTTTCAAAGTCATCTGGAGGAATACTGGCTTTCACTTCTTTTTCTTTAGTGGTGGTTTACTCTAGTAGTCAGCATTTAGCTAAAATTTATTTTTGCAGACCTTTAATAAAAGATAACCATCATACGTAGGAACGCTTTTGTGATATTCTGTCAGAATAACTTAAGCAAATTCTTTGATACAAGGTAACTTTGCTGTTTGATTGAAGACCTGAAAGTTCAGAATGGCAAATTATCTTGCTGTGAAATGATAGATTGGTGTTTTGTTCTTTATATTGTTCATAAAGCAATTCTAACTTCTTTGTGATTTTCCTGCTTTTTTTTATCTTTAGCATCCTGATATGTACGAGCGAGCAGTTTTGAGGAAAGAGCATCAGAAAAAGTACGGAGCAACAGTTGATCTGTGGAGCATAGGGGTGACCTTTTACCATGCTGCAACAGGGAGCTTGCCTTTCCGACCCTTTGAAGGACCTCGTAGAAACAAGGAAGTGATGTAGGTAATTTAGAAGAAGAATTTTATCTGTTTGTAAATTAAGTCAGTCTGTGAAATGCTTTTTATCAAAAATCCTACGCACATGTAGTAAACATTAAAATAGTGAAAATATTTAGGAAAAAACATTCCTTAACTTTGTTGTGGTTTAACCCCAGTAGATAGCTAAGCATCACACAGCTGCTCGCCCACTTCCCTGCAATGGGATGGGGGAGAGAACTGGGAGGGTAAAAGTGTGAAAACTCGTGGGTTGAGATAAAGACAGTTTAAGAAGAAAACGAAAACCACCAAGCAAAAAAAACCCAACAAATTCCAAACCTCCACCCCTAAACCGAAAGGTAAACAACCCAGAAAAACAAATGATGCAAAAAATCCCCAGTTCCTCACCACCAGCCAGCTGACGTCCATTCAGTCTCTGACCATCTGCCAGCTTGGAAATTCCCCACTCCCAGCTTTTATTGCTGAGCATGATGTCATGTGGTATGGGATATCCCTTGGGGTCAGCTTCCTGTGTCTCCTTCCAACTTCTTGCCTGCCCCCAGCCTACTCACTGGCGGGCAGTGTGAGAAGTAGAAAAGGCCTTGATGCTGTGTAAGCATTGCTCAGCAATGGCTAAAACATCCCTGCCTTATCAACACTGTTTTGCTCAAATCCAAAACACAGCACTGTATGAGCTGCAATGAAGAAAATTAACTCTGTCCCAGCCAAAACCAGTACAAACATTCTGCTTCAACAAGGATTTTACGGTGTTGCACTTTAAAATCTGAATTAAGCATCAGAGCTCCCCCTGATGTTTTTCCACACATCTTTCTTTCGCCAAGGTACTGGGCTGGGCTGTTGTACCATGGTGTGTATCACTTGGATATTCAGGCAAAATTATGGCATTTTGAAACAGATTTTCAGTGCTGCAAATTTTTATTGTCTTTTAAGTAATTGTCTTCGAAGGCAGTCTTGAAATGCATGCACTACCCGCAAGACTGACTTTTTTTGAGTAGCATGGCTGTGGACTGTGGCTGAAGGTAACAGGAATAGCTTCTGAATGGAAAACTGAAGTTGTGTCTATGATGTGCTGTTTGGAATTTTTATCTGTTTTGCCTTAGTCTAGTTCTATTTTATTGTTCTGTGTGTTGCATTTGAAAAATAAAGCAAGGTGGTACTTGGGAACTCTCATAGGCCAATAACATTTTCATCTTGGTACTCCTTGCAAAGCTGACTTCAGTTTTTTTAGTTTAAGGAACTGCCCATCCTGTTGATTATCTCACAGGCATTGTTGTTGTAACTGCTTGAAAGAGAAGCCAGGAACATGTAGTTTGTATGTGCCTTGTCCTCCAAAAGGAAAAAACAAAAGTGAAATTTTCTATTGCAAAAAGTCTATTGCTCCTGATTTGTTTCATGAGAAATTTGAGAAATACTAGCTTGGTCAGTACAAAGGTAGACAATGCCAAATTGTATCCAAATTGCTAGATGTCTCCAGGCTAAATTAATTTCTCAGAGTCCGTGTTCTGTTCTTTCACTATCCCCAAGTCACTTTGTGTGGCTAAATGTCATCTCTTGCCATGGAACATGTTAGAAGTTAGTCATGTAAATGCCTAATTTGAACAGCCTTGGAAATCTGACTCTAATTCAAACTTTAAAAAAGAAAAAAATTCAGCTTCCTTCAGTGATGCCTGAAATTGCTAAGTTTTTCTCAAACTTAGGAAGACAAAGATATTTCTCCACACATCCTAAAGTCTTTAATTTTTGTTGTTTACTGTTTTAGCACCACTCTGCCAGCTTGTAAGTGAAGCTTCCCAGTTATTGCACCACCTACAAATTTAGGCGAACCCATTATTTCTATTTATATTATTGATGACTCTCTGAGGATCAGTTACCAGACCTATGTATGTATAAGAGGTAGTAGTTGAAGTTTGTATTATTTTTATAATGTATCACAGGTATAAGATAATCACTGGAAAGCCTTCTGGTGCTATTTCTGGAATACAGAAAGCAGAGAATGGACCAATTGAGTGGAGCTGGGAGATGCCTGTTTCTTGTAGTCTTTCAAAGTAAGTTGGAACTTCTCACGAAATGTTTCAATGCTACTTCATTGGGCTTTTCCCAATTATTCTCTCAATTTATTCTCTCAGAATAACTTTTCCCAGTTATTCTCTCAGGATTGCGTCTTTGGAACAGAGATCTGACTGCTGCAGTTGTTTTCTTTGAACTCTTCAGTAGGTCAGTACACTCTACTTTTAGGTTATCAAGTGTTTTTTCTTCCTATCCACCCAAGTAGTTTTATGGCTGCTAATTTATAAATGAGCACCTGAGAATCTGAAGTGGTGTGAGTGGAAGAAAGATTATTATTCTATTTTCTCCACCCTCAGGAAAGAGTATGAAGATTCATTCTTCCAAAAATGCAACTTCAGACATTACAAAGATTAGGCAGTAGGAAGGAAATGATAAGAAAAGACAGTTCAGAGACTTGCATTTTTGCCAGGGATTAAAAAAAATCACATCAGCACATTTTAACATCTTATGGTATCTTTTACATTTTTTTTTCATCTGCATATGTCATAATCCTCAGTAGGAAGAGCCATGGAAGATCTAAGATCTCAGTATGATCTTAAAATCACCTCCCATAACCCATTTACCTATTTATCTTCCTGAGACTTCCTCAGTACTTAAAAGTTACTGCTCTTTCATGGTAAATGGAGAAAGAAATTGTTCTGTGAACAGGCTCTAGAAACAAATGTTTCTGAAAGCCAAATACGGAGATCCATAAGGGTGTAGAGTGAAAGTCTGGTTTATATCAATTCGTTAGTTTATAGTGTGCAGAACTTACAATTGATACATATTTTTCATTTTCATGATAATGCTCAGTTGTTTCCTTTTCTTATTCCATATAATTGAAGTGCTTGAAATAATAAAGGAAGCAGACTTCTTTAATTAAATGTCTGTTCACAGTAATATTTTCAAGTAACATTTAAACAGTATTTACTGTTATAAGTTTAGTACTAAAGTGAGTTTGAGTACAGCATCCACTGACCTCTAATGGGGCTGTCAGTCAAACCGTTTTAAAGCAAGCTCCAGTGGCTTATAAGCACACTGAGAGCCCCATTAGAGGTGTGCATAATGTTAAAACTTTGAAGAGGTTGTTCATGATAACACAGGAGTGGGATCCATAGAGTTTCTTGCAATTCAGATTTACACTCATGAGTCAAATGAAGTGTTGCAATTGGTTACAAGGTGAAAAGATCCAAGTACATCCAAATTGTCTTTATGTCTTCCTGATGTCCTCTAGGGGTCTGCAAGTACTGCTTACACCTGTCCTTGCAAACATTCTTGAAGCAGACCAGGAAAAATGCTGGGGGTTTGACCAGTTCTTTGCAGAGACGAGTGACATACTGCACCGAATAATAATCCACATCTTTTCGGTACAGCAGATGACCTTGCACAAAGTTTATATTCACAGCTATAATACGTAAGTGTTCTTGTTCTCTATTTTCATTACTTCGCTCTCATTCAGGCAAATGGTACTGTGAGCTCAGATCACCACTGTTACAAATCCAGTAGCCTTCCCTTGGCAGTTTATCTGAGGGAGCTTGTAATTCTGCTGTACAGTCACAGTGCATAGAAGCCTGTTGATCAAAACTAAAAGTAAAATCGCTGAAGGTCAGATCAATTGATCTTAAACTTGATCTTAATCAATGACACAACACAGACTTAATCCTTGATCTGTTACAATGTGTATGTTCTTAATGGATACCAACTGATCCCATATTTGTATGTTACTTACCGACAAAGTAGTTTTCCAGAGACTTGTGTTCAGCTCTCACTTTTCTTATCTTGTCCTCAAGAATACAAAATGTGTGCATCAACTGTGTCTGACTTAAAACTCCCACAGGGGCTCTGAAGTTGTAACTGGTACAATTTAGGATCCTAAGTTATATGGATTTCACTTTACGGTCATTGAGTGCTGATGTTAAAAACAGTGAAGTCTGATTTACAGTTTGGTACCAAAACCAGTGTCTTTTCTCTACCATACTTCAGATAATATAGAGGGTGTGTCATTCTCTAATATGTGAACAGTTATTTCATAAAATGTGTAAATATAGTTCTGGCCTTTTTAAATTTTTCTACTGTGTCATTTTTGTTTTGAAAGAGGCCAAATACTATTTTTGCAGAGAAATCTTGCCTGGAGCTCAAACTGCTGTGCTTTATTTTTTAACATTAATTATTATTTACTTTCCTGATTATTTGCATACTAGTTGTAGTATTAAGAAGTGATAGTGTGCTAGTGCTGCACAGGAGGCAAATTTGTCCTTCCTCTTGGTGTGTTAGTTCTTTTGTGGGAGGTTTTGTTGGTTGGTTGTTTTTGGGAGGAAGAGGTTTGTTATAAATTCTTATGCCTAGTATTCATTGATTGCTGGTAATAAAACACCAGAGTGTCTTTGGTTTTCCTTCTTACTCCTGTTTCAGAGATAATCTGGCTGTCTGTTAGCTTACAGGCTGAATTTAAGGTGTGTGCTTTCTGAAATGTAAAACCCCAGACTTTTCTCTTGGAGAAGCCATTCATCTCCTTTGAAGAAATGCATATGCCTGAGAAAACAAGTATGCTTCCTTCCTCTCATCTAGTGCTGCCCAGTGCAGAGCAGTTTTGTTTACACAGACGTGCTATGGTGAAAAATCAGAGGTAGAAAGGGAAGCTTGATATTTTGCAGGAAATAGCATTCATTTTTGTAATAGAGCAAGTGTGAGCAGTGTGCTGCTTTTTTTTCCTACTTCTAAGTCAAATGCTTTATGTGTCCAACCAGTTCTTCATCAGAAGTAAAAGACATTTATCAAAGTAATGCAAAATCTGAATTATTGAACTGTTGCAATGAGTCTAACTACTACTGAATATATTGTTTGTATTATAGAGCTGCTATATTTCATGAGTTGGTCTACAAACAGACAAAAATACCATCTCAGAATCAAGAACTGATATATGAAGGTCGGCGTTTAATACTGGAGCCTGGCAGATTGGCACAGCACTTCCCCAGAACAACTGAGGAGAATCCTATCTTTGTAGTAAGCAGGGAACCTGTGAACATTGTCGGATTAATCTATGAAGAAGGTATATGAAAGCCATTTCCCCTTCCTTATCTTCTGTGAATAGATTGGGTTATTTAATTATTATTTTATGGCTGTTATGTCTTAGAAATAGTGTTTGAAAGTTTTCTCTTTTGATACCTGAAGTTCTAAGAATGCAGTTGTTCCCCCTACACCCCCCTTTTTTTTTTATTCTCCAAAAATGCTGAGTATCTGGCATGTTTGTTCCTAGTGCTGGAAACCTGAGCATCTTTGTGTTAAGTGGGGCCTATGGAGTACTGAAATGTTTTGAAGTGTGACACTTTTAGTAAGTAGAAAGGAAGATTACAGAATGTAATTCAAAGGTGGTTCTTTTGTTCCATTACTCACTAAGTGGAAATTCAAGTTTTGCATTTTGTTTTATTTTTTTTATTTTATTTATTTTTTAATGTCATGAATGTGGTTAGCCTTTCAGTTAATAGAGGAGATCTTAAGAACTTACCTTTGCTTGGAACATAAGGTAATGGCATAACAGAAAAAGAAGAAATTAAGTTCTTGCATTTATCATTGAGAGGCTTATATAGGGCCATGTGCCAGACCCCTTTTGTGTAAGAGATGATCTGGGGGACATGCCTGCACTTGAAAGGTCAGTGTGCTTTTGTCGGCGTTTCCTACATACTGACTGCTCTGACTAGCTGACACTCACACAGAGGTGCTGAAGAGTGTGGGTAGGTGAGCTGTTTGTGGGAGGATCAACAGGACCTTTGTATTGTGTCAGAGCTTTCTGAAGGAGTCAGTGAGTGTGAGAACAAAGTAGATTCAGCTGATGGAGGCTACTGTAGATTTTAAAAAGCCATTGCTGAAGTTCTGCCCTTACAAGTCTCAATGAAACTAAGTAGCCTTAAGGTAAGAGGGAACAGTCTCCCACGTGGACAAACATAGAGCTGAAGAACAGAAATAAATGGTTGGTTTATCTCAATGGAGACATACTGCTAGTAGAGACCTACATGAAATGCGTGCTGTGAAGCATGTTCAAAAAAGACTCTGGAAAAGGAAGAGAAGAAGTCTGCTGAAGATACCAAGTTACTTAAAGTCTTTAAGACAAAGGCTGGTTTTAAAGTTGTGCAAGAGAACCACATTATATTGAAAAGCTTGGCAGTAACAGATTAGATGAAAATCCATGTAGATATGCATAAAAAGAGTGTACAGCATGGGGAGGGGAAACAGTCTGAACTTCTGAAGTCTCTTGTAGAAAATAAGAAAATACAGATGTTTCTTTTATGTTTCAGTTTTACTTCCTAAAGTACATCAACGTTATGATTTGGATGGGGATGCCAGTATGGCTAAAGTGAGTAATTATGATTTTGATTTATATATCTGTCTCGCATAATGATACTGAAATGAAAGCTACTTGATATTCAGATGAATAATGTTAAAAATAGTTTTAATAGGCTAGCTAGGATTCTGATTGACAAAAGTGTATTTGTTAACAAGGGCTCCAAAAGTATATTAAAGCTATACTGTGTATACAAAATATATTTGTATATTAAAAAACAAAACCAAACCTAAAACCAGCCTTCTAAATTCCAAGTGCTGTGTTACTGCATAATTCAGTGCTTGCAGGGAAAGGAGACAGTCACTTTGGAGTTATGAAGTTAGCTAGAGGATTCATAACATCCTATCATGGTGCAAAACTTAATGTAACAAAGATAACTTTCCGCTTTCTTTCAGTATAGAGGAGTCTCTAGGACTCTGCAGAAGAGTGGAATTTCTTTTGCCTCTTGCAAATTTTCAGAATCTGTGTGAGACAAGTAGAAGATGTTTCATTCTTTGGTCATTTTTCTAGAACTACTGGATGGATGCATTGCCATGCCTTGACTTTATGACCACCATTTATGCTATATCTATAAAATACTGGCTGCTGAGAAGCCTTGTGTTCAGGCATGGTAGTCCTGAAAGCATATGTCTCTTTGAACACCAGAAGTCTTTAAAATTAATGAAGAGAAAGTCATCAGTTGATATTAATGAATTAAAATATTGTAAATTATAATATCTGAAACATTGTTCACAATTCTGAATAAATCAGCAAATTTCTAAGTGGAATTAGGTGAATGAAGAGTCCCTAGCCTTAGAATTTAAAAATATGCCATTTTTACAAGTTTCTTTTGATGCGTGTGTTTAATTCCTAACCTACTGAAGAAAAATGTACTTGTGACTTTCCAGAAATGAAAGCAAATCCTGAGAGTAAGTGGTGTAATTTTTGTTTATAGAGACTTATTTTCATCCCTAACAGTGATTGATTGACTTGAAACAACTGTGAAGAGAATGCCAGATTAGTACTAATGCTTGCTTTTTCCACCAGGCAGTAACGGGTATCGTATGTTATGCCTGTAGAGTTGCCAGTTCCTTGCTGCTTTACCAGGAGCTGATGCGAAAAGGAATACGATGGCTAATGTAAGCAACTGATGGAATTTCATTGCACTTACTTCTTTTTGTAAGAAATTGAGATATGCCTTGATATTCATTCCATAATACTGTGATCTCCCAGTATCTTGGGAAGTTTTCTTCACTCCTTGAACATGAATAGGCTTTCTGATTATTTTTTTTTCCTTCTTTCTGTCATTGAGGAAACAAAAGTAATTTTTTCTGACAATAAGTTTTAGGTATTTGCAATTTTGCTTTCTTTAGTGGATAATTTCAGTCTAACCTCTGATAACATGGAGGTACAGTTGGCCAGCTTGCACAAGATAGTTTTATAGGAGGATTATACTAATGCATCTATAACTGATAGCAATTCTTACTAGCAGTTACTACTGTAGGTATATTATTGTATTGCTGATTGCTGGTAAGATGGCAGTTGAATGCTTTAGCTACAGATTATTGCTTCCCTTTTTAGTGAAATAATCAAGGATGATTACAATGAAATGGTTCACAAAAAAAACGAGGTGGTTATCAGGCTGGATTTCTGCAACAGAAACATTGAGAAAGCTGAGAAAATGTGAGTAGAAGCACTAAACTGAATGCATTGATTTTTCCATTATCATCTTTAGTGACAGTGGTATTTTAAGTTATGTTTATTTTCAGGGGTTTTGCATATAAAAATAAGTTCGAATAAGCAGGGATTTGCTGATGGCATTGACTTAAGCAGATTCAGTATTATGCTTTACTCAGAGCATTTATTTTGTGGCTTAACCTAATGGGAGCAAATAATTACTATTAAGTAGTAATTGTATGTGTTCTTTTGCTCATTTCTTCTCTGACTCAGCTCATCTGCTGTTGTTGACTTCAGAAGCTATAGTAAAGCCTGGAAAAAGGATTGAGTAGCTTTCCTTCAGTTAGTGTTTTAGTGCCTTTGTCACTGAGTTTGCTTGTGTGTGTTTATTAAGGGTGACTTTTAAATACTGCCCCTTTCACAGCTTTAAGACCTTAGCATTTCCTGCATGGAAGGAGTTAAAATGTTGAAATATAATACAGAGCAGCTGAAAAAAACCCCAAACCCAACAAAAATAAAAAACTAAAATCCACAAAACAAACCCCCCAGAAAACATCAAAAACCAAAGCTACATTAGGATATCACTAGATCACAGTGATATCAACATCACTGTGGGATACTGGACATAGGGATACCAAAGGTAAACTGCACAGGGAATACTACTTCTGTCATTGTTTTAAGTGCCTGGCTGTTATGTTACTTTTGTTTATTTTGGTGAATTCAGAGGGCAGAGGTCTGTATCACAGAATCTCACTGTTGTCCATATGGACCCATTTAATTTGTTATAGTAAAAAGTTTTTTAGAGCACTTCCTTTAAGACTGAAAAAAAAAAAGAAAATAGGAACTGAAGAATTGTTACCTTTTGGAACAGAAAACTTCGAGGTTTCAAAGAACACAGAAGACACATTTCTCTTGTTTTCTGTTTCAAGGAAGCAAACGTTTTCCAGTGGTCAGACTCTTCTGCCCTTCCTTTTTCACTCAAGAGCTGTCTGTAGAAGAGATTGCACCATCAAATTCTCCCTCCAAGTTTCAGTTATTCTCTCTCATGATGTTTGTTTCATCTCCAAGTCCCATGCAATGCCCAATTCTCAGTCAAATTTTTCTCCACTTTTTAAGTGTCTTTTCAGTGTCTTGTTCAGTCTTCCCACAAACTAGCATTAGCTCCATCTTTAAGGTGTGTTACTTTTACACAGTCTTATACAAACTCTACGTAGGTTTCTCCTATGGGTATTTGTTTTCCTATTCAACCTACTGCCAGGATCCCCCAAATGCTGTCTTGGTCATGGGATTCTCTAAACTTGCTTCCAGGCCACTCTGAAAATGCGGATTGATTGATGCATACATGTTGGAACCATTGCATTTGCAGAGTAGACTTAAGAATAGTCTGAAGCCATGTTAGAGCTGCTGTGCATTGTAAATTGAACATCTTGTGTGTAGTAATTGTAGATACCCAAGGATTTGTCAGATTTGCTGTATGCATGCCAAACATGTACAAACTGACACACCTGGGCTCTAGGAGATTTGCTTAAAAAAAATACCCCAAACCAACCAACCAGTAAAGTTAGCAAAGCTGGTAACTAGCAGGATAACAGGACACCTCTGTAGCCTAGTTACAAATCATCAGGGCTGTAATTGCAACTCTTCTTGAAGCCAGTTTATGTTAGATGACATAGAATCATAGAATAGTAAGGGTTGGAAG